TGGAGGCTGCCTTTGATCTTTCGAAAGTCTAGCGACTAAAAGCTGTAATAGGCAGCCCTATTAGATATGAAACGGATTGCCCTTATATTAAAGCTAAGGTACATCTGATCCTGGCTCCGGTGTGGTACTGCTATTAGCTGGTATTAAAAACGTCAGCAGACGTCACCCTTCGCAAAGGAATCTTTCTGAATTTAACTGAATTCTTTTAACACGCCGTTATATTATTAGAGTCACTTGAAAATATTGTATAACAGTATAGCAAGTGTGGGAGGATGGAAACAGTAGAAAAGTATATATTAACGCTGGTCCGCTAAGGTACATTCAGCTAAATCGTCAACTAGTGAGTCCCCATATAATGAATTCCTGCCATTTTTTAATAAGCACACATTCAACCTATGCTAGGTGGTCCACAAATGTAGTCTGATGAGTCCAGACACACACAAAAGCATAACACTGTTGCTTTGTCCCAAAGTATAATGCGAGCGTCTTTTTGAGACGGTGCTCTTTCGATATGCATTACGTTACGGAAACTACCTATATCCTATCAACGTGAGAGGTTCAGATCAATATATTGTACTATCTTAGTGCGTTAACAAGACGCTTCAAGTGCCAAAAGATGTCCTGCAATCGCGCAGTTACGCGTTGCTTTTCTAGTTTCTCTTCATTTGTACGTAACGTTGGTAAGTGTAGAGTGAATAGGCCGCAGTGTAATAGAGATCTAAATGCGAATGTGATTCTGACGGTTCCCGTCGATTGAGTTAGGTTGGGTCCAAATGTGATGCTTCGTCTTGATGTGTTTTCCTTCAAACATCCTGGTCCTATCGTACAATCATTATTTAAAGAACCGCTATCGCGTTGTATATGATATATTAAAAACGATTCAAAAGACGAACGTGCAGACACCAAGCACCAGCTGAAAACACCCGAAGTTCCCAGGTAAAATCGGGACGAAGACAAATCCGAAGATCATGTAGCTCCTCGCTAGATAAGCTTCTATCAGTTGCAGATGTCCTTAAATGGTTTTTAGAAGATATAGCAAGTAAATATGTAGCAATATCGTAGGACGCGTCACTATTAAAATTGAGCTGAAATCTAAAAATATTATTTTAAGAAATTTTGTACTTTCTGCATCTCGTCCATTCTGCTGACTTCCCTTATTAGCACGCAAACATTCAGCGCGATGCACGGTAAGCTACGCATCTATAACATCTTTTGCTTCAAAGCGATGCATCGTATATTAGTGACACGTTCCATATTTTGTCATACGTCGTATCCTTTCCAATGTAGATAAATCTTCCCGCTGTGTACACCTATTGTCATTTGTTGTTCCATGAATGCAAGCGCCTCGATCCGACAAAGTCCTAAAAAGGTCATTGTGAGAAGCATAATAATGAGTAAACAACGATTTCCTCCCTCAGATAAACAACTCTGCGCAAGGGACATATGGTCGCTGGCTTGTTGCATTTTGGTCGATCTATATTGTCACTATAGCCAGGAACAATATCCTAGTATGTTGCTAATTTAAGACTAAATAGTTATGTAATTTGGCATGCGTTCGGTGCTACTATTAAATTACCACGATAATATCACGAAATAAATAATAGCGTTGTAGTCATTTTCTTCAGTGCTAGTAGAATAACGCCAAACTCATAAATTTATGAAAGTTCAACTTAATAAATTGCGTAGAACATGGCATGTTGTTGTGGGGTGACCCCGTTCCCCCGCCAGCAAGTTGGGCGGAACCTACGAAATTAGTGGTATAGGCAACTCGAGCAACGAGTTAGGAACAAACAAAGTTGTCTATTTGTTAAGTTGGAAATGCTTGTTCTCTTTAGACTCCGTAGCTCAAGTTGATCGTACCTGGATTACTTGCGACTGGTTATAGAGTTCTCGATGCATCAAATGTTACGTCGTAATCTAAAAAAAAAGTTCGTCATAACGTGAATTCACGAAAGGTACTGCTTTTCTACCTTATGTATTTCTACCTAAGTGTTGAAACTTTCGCGTTTTATCACGAAACAAAAAAATATAGTTAGGACACAGATTCATATTTTCATTTAGTTGCAAGGCTAACCCCCCGAAAGCGGTTACCGCTACGCGAACAATCGCGCAGTGGCAAATTGACGACTGCGTGACTAAGCGATGCGTGCATTTAGAAGAGAGCTCCTTAAAGCTTTTTTCCTGCTGTCCCTCATACGATAGGCCATGCTCTCGCTGCACATTCAGTACCGAGTATGACCGAGACAAAGAATCGTTTCGAAGGCACAATCTCTTACACTTTCATACCCGCTAACCTGAATCGTCAGAATCTACTGATACGGAAATTAAAGAGCTATAAGAGGCTGCTCGGAGCATACGCGGAAACAATATTTTTTTCCAGACACTCTCTTCGTATATGCAACGCAAAAACGAGGTTGTAGTCATGAAAACCTTACCGATTTCCTTAACGCACTTCCCAAAGTGGGGATACTGCGAAATCCCTCCGCATCTCTGATATTCAGGTAGAGCGCCAGTAAACCCGCCGCATTCATACATCTAAGTTGTACTATACGGAACACATAAGTTTTTCTATTTGAACATTTTGAACCGCCATTGTCTTGCCAGGCTTTTTTTTTCCTCACACAAAGTAGCTTCTCGCCATTCCTCCCTCCTAACGCTTCATTGTACTCGAATGGAGTTTTTCCTGTGTCTGCCTGATCCATTGCTCTCTTTGATCTATCGCTATTATTACTAGTATAAAGGGTTACTGTAGTGCTCTATTGGTGGCGTTTAGATTAACACACCGCTGCTCCACAAGAGTAACCCAATCGTTCGCGGTCTTTGGTGACAGGTTTTGACGCGCTTTTAACTCGACGTATTATCTTCGCACGCGACAATAATAGGATATGATCTTCTTAAACAGACAGTGTTAGCTAGGGTGTAAACTAGAGGTTGCATTACTAGATGCGAATATATATTTATATTATTATATTAGACAAAAAAAAACGAAAGGTATTCTTTGTTAAGTAGGTCCTGTGCAGGACACGCTCTCCGAATTTCTCGTTTAAACCTATCTATCTCTCTTGCCATGCCTTCTCTTTATATCCTGTTATGGTTATCAGTAAATTATAGGCCATAAAAGATAGTCCTAATGTCACATTGTGTGTGACAATAGGTAATGCAGAGTTACATACAGGCTTCGCGAGAGTATAGTTCGGAAGCTCTCTATAAAATTTCTCACAACCAATACGTACTTTGTACATAATCTTCGCTTCATTTTACACTTTAACATCGTTATTCATGGCAGCTTTGTTATTATCATCATTAAATAATAAAAATACTATTATTTACAGTAATACTGCTAATGGCTACAATGCCAAGCCGTCCGGTACCAGCTAACGGATATATCTTTTTCACTTTCACCGATTATTATATATGTCGTACCTCTCTGCATTTGCGCTCCCCATCCATCGTAGCAACGCTAATATAACAGTGCAAAGTCAACTATATAAACCAACACGTTATTGCAGACTTCTGCAAAGGGCCTCCGCAAAAGTCTGCGGTGTCTTCAGCGGTAATCACCATCGGCACAGCCAGCCCCACCTGTGTCTTATCTGCCAGTCTTGACGATTAAAGTTGCTTGTGATGGTTAACACCTCTATGCTCTGTTACATGGGTGTGCTAGCACGGATGTACCGGCTTGCGTGTTTCAGCTGGCACGCATAAATACGCCTGTCCATCCACAAAGTCTGCTAACGCCTTAGGTACCATCGTACCATCATATCACACCAAATTATTTCACGCCCTCGTTGTTGAAGGCACTATGACGGTTTCAATTAAGACCACCAACTGCCCTGCTGTGATAGCGCTTGGCGTTCGCCTCTAAGGACTGCTACCACAATACGATTATAGTATCACTTTTATTCTTCTATTACTACTACAATCTAGGCTGCCATACTGTACACACATAGATATATATATATATATATATATATATACACAGGCATGTCTGCGGTGGCTATCTGACGCTTGCCATCGTCGTTGTGCCAGTGGGGGCCGGCGTCACCAGGAGCAGTCAGCTTTAGGAGATGGTTGCATTCGGTTGCGTTGGTTTTCATCGATCGCTGCTGCCGCTGTTTCTAATGCCGCCGCTCTGGCTGCCGCCTCTGGTGAGCGGGCGAGCGAGCGAGAGAGACGGATCGCCTCAGTCAGACGCGCTCTCCTGTTTTGTTGTGCTCGTCGGTTAATGAAAGAACGAACGACCGAGTGAGCGTAGTCCGTCGTCCGACAGGTCCAACTCTTTCCAAGAGCCCGACCGTTTGCCGGTCGCTGTGTATTCCTCGATGTGTCGATCGATTTGTCTGTCTGTGGGTCCGTCTATGCGCCGTGCGTCGGCACCATACTAAACTACACTATACTATATATATACATACATATATATAAATGTATATATATATATATAGATTTACACATATATATGTTGGTCGGAGAAGCTGCTGCGGTAGCGCCAACGGGGTAGCGATGGTGGCGGCATTGGTATGGTAGTGAGACCGAGGAGCGATCGGCGCAGCCTAGGGGAGAGGGCGCTAGCGGACTGGCTGGCTAGCGTTAGACTAGCTAGTTTAACGTAGTCTGACTGAACTGAACTAGCAGTGACGGCGGCGACGGCGATAGCGGCTGCTGCTGCTGCTACTGCTGCAACGGCGGCGGCGGCGGCGGCAGCAGGCACCAAACCAACAGCGAAACGCCCGGGCTGCTGGTGCAGTTGCTGCGGCGGCGGCGGTGACGCAGCAGCGGCTACTAACTTTTCTGTGTTTGATCCTTGACGCGCGAGCGCTGGAGAGCCAACTAGCCTGACTACTATGACCAGGTTGCTTGCTAGCTGCTGGCAGTCAGCGAGCCAACGCTAACCAGTAAATTCATCCGACGACGGACGTCGCCGGCGGATGGTGGTGCTAGCGCTCGGCGGTGCTGCCTGGAGTTGTTACAGGCTGGAGTGTTGCTTCAAGTGCTTTGCTGGTTTCTGCTGGTGCATTCGCTGGTCCGCGCCAGGAAGGAACGGAACGTCGAATCTGGACACGAGGACGAAGGACGGAAGGAGGACGATGGTCTAGGACAATAGGAGAACACCCAGCCAATAACAGACAGCAAACAACAAAACACAGTGGTGTGCGTCGTCATGCACAGGGCAGCATCTGCATGCCAGCGTGTAACGAGAGTGCGCTAAGCTTAGGGAAGAAGTTACTTAATTATAATTAGTCATTGATTTCGAGGCTCGGGTCATGCCAAACATTCAGACACAGTTCATATACTGGGACTGATTCGGAGTGTTGAAGCTGATCCGAGCTTGGTTGAGGGAAGAACGCCGATGCTGCCAAATATCGAATGCTGTCGCACATAGTCTGATAAAGAAGGATCAAATCGTGTGCAGTTCTGATAGAAGGGAAGCGGTCCGCAACAAGATGGTTGCAAAACAAGGATGACGGAGCTCTGCAGAAACGCTACGTTACGACACGTAGCGAGTAAACGAACGCAAACGTAATCTGGTGTTGATCTCAATGAAATAAAGAAAACAACATGCCTGAACAACTCGAATCATAGAAGATGGAAGAGTTCACTTAAGATTATCGGCTGCTACATGAAGTGTTTGGTACAAACGACGATAGTTTAAAGACGCGTTCGGGAGCCATGACTACTCGTCAGTGAGAGCGTTTCGTTGTGTGTCGCTGAATATTTATACGATAGTGTAGAGAGTGGATCTATGAGAGATAATTATTGAAGAAGCTGCTCGAAGACATGTGACTCAATCAATTGGTGTGGTTTAGCATAGCGTGTACTACGATACGGAATTGAGTTGAACAGGAAGACTGCTTGCGAAAAGAGAAAACATTTGCCAAGGCTTACAAGCAATATGCTAGTGCTCATTATCGTCATCGTCGAGGTTTGACTGCTGTCTTTAATAAACGATTATATGAATATGACTTGATAGCACAGGATTTCGTGCGGTGTGATGTGTGAGGTGACAGAGCGCGGAGCATCTGGCTGCTCCTGCCTATAGCGGTACTGCTCAAATCGACCTCTTCCTGCGCCTGTAGTACTAGGCTATACGTCAAACGCTCTCCTCCCGTCAGATGAAACCGATGACGCGCTAAATTTAGCATGGAGGCGTCGTGCGAGCCGCGCAAACACCATTAAGTGATATGATTACTTTGACTACTAAATCTAATTGACGAAACGAGACCTGCAAAAAACGTTTAATTTTGCTGAACGATTAGCAAAGACGCAAAGCCGGATGGGTGCCCTCAAAAAAGGTACGTACTTTAAGGATCCGTTTGGAGGGATCTTGAGGATAAAAGCAAGTGGGTTGTATGTATATGATGCATGAGTGACGACGTGCCTTCAACTGCTATTCAACAAGGCCCACAACTGGTCCATTGCTGTACATAGTTATTTTGTTGCCGTTCATGCTGTTATTTACTTGGGGGGTTTTCTATGGTAGATCTAGCGCTCATTGGCCTCTAGTGGGGCGAATGCACCAGCGATACTATACAAAAGTCCCCGTAATGCCCGCCCTTCTGGCAGACACGACATTCATAGGACACGCTGTTCCGATTTCTCGCTACCCGAAAACCTGTCGACGGCCTGTTAGCTCATAAGTGCTGATACGCGGGCGGGGGGGGGGGGGTGCGAATGGGACAATGGGGGAGAGTAGTTTACATTTTCGTGAGGAGGAACTCTTGAATTGTAGCATAGTTATTTGGTGGGGAATCGGAACTTCAAATGGATCCATGGGGGGTGGAACGATACAGTGGCGGTAACAGCGCTAGTGGCGGCGATAAGGGGTCGGGAAAGAAGCGTCAGACATGCAAAGTAACGTTGGAGAACTATGCGTGAAGATGAAGTAAGTAACGCGAGTACTGTTGCTGATGCTGCCACTGCTGTCTCCGCCATCACCGTAAATGTAATGGACCATTGTGGGACAACATCTGGGTTCAGACGACAACGGAGTGGAGCCGTAACATAAACTGATATACTAGGTAGGACTTGCTGGCTCCACGGGATGGCCATGGAGTAAAGGGAATGGGATGGACTGCCTATTGTATACCTGCCTGCCTGACTCACTACCCATGTCTTCACTGAATGAATGCTATGACTGAAAATTTGTGTGTATGTGAGTATGTGCATTTGAGTGGATCTGTCTCGGTGAGGCTATATAACATCATCAATACCCGCTCGCGTCATTGTGGCAGTGTTGACAGAGGGAGGTGAAGCTTGTTGCTTAAACGACCGGTTGCAGCTGCAGCACAACAACATTAACCCAACGTAACGCGCTGCATTCACTTATAGCGGCGGACGACGACGAGAAACAGTAGTTCAGCAGTTCGATATCTCCTGTGCCTGTTATTCCAGCACATTGAAACGCTACCGAGCTTTTACTTGCTCCTCGATGTGAATGTTCCGCCTTCAAAAGGACCGCAACGGCAACCGCCGCAGCAGCCGTTGTCGTCGTTACTGTCGCAACAGTTTTCCGCAGCCGCCCCTACTGTTAATGCCGATGCCGCTAGCTGAAATCGGTCGACAAAAAATCACAAAGACGACACGCTAGTGCTGCCAGCAGTGGCAATACTGCCTCCTCGACTTGACTTTAGCACCTGCTACCGCTGCCGCCGTGGCACCATCACCATCGCCATCAGGATCGTCGTCATCACCAACCGCAGCAGCGGCAGTGAAAACGTTATATTGGGGGCAAAAGATGATATGATTATTACTATTCAAAATTTCGTTCGAAGAGGAGAGTGAGGCGAAAGAGCACAGTACTCTTTGAGCATATTATCCTGACGAAGGCGATAGACTACCTCTGTGTTCAGAATCACGATCACGCTGAAAGGCAGCTCCAGCTGTTGCCGGCTGGGGTTACAGCTGCTTGTGCTGCTTTTAGCGCCCACTGTTGGAGCCATTTGCAACTGGGACTTCTGCGAAAACGTAGGCCAGCACAGCAGCGAAGAGGAAAAGACCAAGAACGTTAAATACGTTAAACGAATGGGGCTCACCACAAACGAGCAACGACGACGAAACTTATTTAGTAGTTGAACTTTCCAGGCGATATGGAAGTTAGCTTCTCTTTTAAGTTGCGATCGGTGCAGTTGGCGATGTTGTTCGCTGGTAGGTGTTCCTGCTTGCGGGAGTTATAGGAAGATGGAAAGAAAAGCACGAAGTGGTGTTGTGGATTTTCGTTATTTCCTTTTCAATTTTCGGGTTTGGTTTCGATTATGGGGTTCGTTCTGTTACCCAGACGACGACAGGCGCGACGATGGCGTTAATGAAATAAAACGAACGAGAATGAACATCACCTGAGGAATAACAGAGATCAAGATGAAGACGCGAACCCGAGTGAATATGAAAAGACTAAAACACACAGTCAAGAAAGGTATGAAAGCCTTCACGTAACAATAGCGATGCTCAAACGTTCGTGCTCAACGCTGCTAGTCAACAGTAACATATGTGCTGCTATACTATTAAATGTAGATGGACGAACATGGGAGTCATATCTGCTCCATCGTTCGACTCGACTCAAACAATGTCTTAGTTAGAACTGTTATTAAACGTGCTTGGTTCCTCCACCCGACGTCCGCGTCGTGACGTTAACTTCTAGACATCTCTAGAAGACATGGGAAATTGATCTTCTTAATGTTTGCAGGACTTCTTAGCTCAACTGATTTTTACTCCGGAACGCCACTGGCTGGTGCAAGGCTCATAAAAGCTTACCCGGATCAAGAGTTGTGCACGCTCCATAACACGCAACAGTATTGAACGTGCGTGGGTGTGAAAGCAACAATTTGAGTTTTGTTTACTTGCTACCGACCCGTTGTTGACTATTGCTGTTGCTACAGCATTTGCAGTTGATGATGCATCTGCTTCTCGAGGCGACGGCCGCCCCGCCGTAGCCCCGGTGCGTGGATCTACCGAAGCATAGGCGTGCTTCTCACAATATGTAACGGCATCTGGGTGTTGATTTGTTCTGGCAGTTAAAAGACCCAGCACCGGATCGCTCTATGCGCACCTCTATATGTGCTTCGCTAGCTGTGGACAGCGCGAAGTGGGTCTGTTTTTTGCATGTTCTCGTATTTAGATGCTGCTCGATGAACAACGGCGAGAAACAGGGCCAAGTGTTGCGTGGAGGACAAGGAAGCATCGGGCGTGTCACCTGAATTCCCCTCCTCCCTTAAAGTTGCTGTTATGCCTAGGAAGAGAAGGTAAACAGGCCGTTAAACTACTTGTGAATGCGGCGTTGTCCAGAGAAAAATAGTCAGGGTCTAAAACATTTTGTACCATTGACCTGTGATGATGCCCAGGTGTTGTTGTTGTTGTTGTCACCGGTATGCCCTGTTATCTTGTTAGTCATTTACTGTTTACGGTATCACCCGCAAAGCTGTCAATGACGTCCGCAGCTCTGGCATTCGGCATCTAGCGCGTTGTCCTGTGCCAATACTGAATAATTACTAATTAGTTAGTATGCGCGGGTTTATGAGGCTGGCGGTTCTATGAGTGGCATTAGCGGTTCTCTGTGGGGTCGCCCTGACATACAGTGCCGTTAGCAGCAGCTGCCATTCCTAGCTCCTAGCGCTGCAGGTGATCCTCAGCTGATGGCCGAGCTGCTGGTACCCGCGGCGGTGGTATTGGCATTAATGTGTGAGCGCATGGCGTCCGACGTCGCAGTCGATCTGCAGCCGCCTCGCACCACTGTGTGTTCTGCAACGGTATCAACGATAACAGCTATATTGATCGTAATCTTGGCCATGGCCGTCATAGTTCTATTACCCGTTCTCGCAACGACACGATATGTTCGATTAAACTAGACACAACGAGGAGACGGAGGAAAAGAGAAATACAGAAAAACTCGTAGAAAAAAAATACTCAACAACATCATCAGTATCACTACCACCATCACGCTTGTCATCATCATCATAATAGCCGGCAGTACTAATGGTAATATTAACAATAGCAACAATAAGCAATTGGCACTGCCCACAGTTAAGGTGCTAACGGCAGCAAGCATGACGTTACAATAAGACTTAGAACGGTTCTAATGGTCGTGCCGTGGCCGAAGGAAGAGTAACAGTTAAATAGCAGTTGCGTTCCGGAGGAAACGAAGGTAAGCGGCTGACTTAGTTACCGAATTCTACGTCTGATACTGCCGTCAAGCGTTGCTGCAGAAATAGTCGCTAATGCGGCTATGGCTATTGCTTCTTCTGTGAGGCGCATTACTCTGTGCGTGTAACTAGTTTGGGAACTCATTAACTTGTATACGACAGACGTCAATGGACGACGGCGATGCTGACGCCACGAGCGATTTCGAATCTTCGTCATCCCGTGACTATGCATCTACCAGCAGAAACATGTATTGCTTGTATGCTACTTCAGTGTTGTCTTTCTGTAAAGGCTCAAACCTCTGAGAGCCGGCACTCCCCGAAATGGGTACAATGTTACCGCTGTTGCTTCTGGCGTGGTGGTGCACGCGTCGCTACGAAACGCAAGGCTCAATCAACGGCAGCGGTTGTGACAGCTGCAACAGCGTCGTTATCACCGTTGCCGCCGGTGCCATTCATTGTTTACTACAGTTGCAGCAAAGCGCCCTGTTTCTGCGCCCTTCCGCCAGCTTTGGTGCATTAGTTAACGCTGGTTTGCGTAAGTTTGGCCATCGCTACCAGCACTGCCGCTGGTACAACGGGCGCCAGCAGTAGATCACCGGGGCCACCATGGGCAGTCACAGCGACCGTCGGGGTAACTGATGAATAGTTTACTGTAACCACATCACTACTGCTTCTGTTGCTACCGCAAAATGGCGTAGCGAAAAGCTGCGTGTACCCGCCCGCCCCCCCCCTCGCGCGTACGGATCTACGAGCTGGTATTCATCTACAAAATCAAAGTACTTTCAGGTTGTAATTAGATAAATTAAATAGAAAACGTCCTATCTTGTCTTGCGGTAATGCCATAGGTGAGAAGTCGATTGTGAATACAGGCCTGCCGTACGATATCTGCGATCTGTAGTGATTTGTATTACACGTTTTACAATGAACTACTGACAAGAGTGCTTAAAGATGAAACGCTTAGACAAGAATTGACGGAATACGTATAACGTGAAACTTTTGTGAATGGCCGATTATCTGTTTGTGTCGTGCATTGATCTTTGGGACGAATCTATTTTAACCACGATAGAGAACTTTTCTAGCGCATATTCTTTTCACGAGTATAAATTCCTCATAGCATAAATCTATGTATGTATGTATGTATGTTTATCGGTACGATTGAT